CAAAACGCAGAATCATGCGTTGAAACAACGTGTAAAGAAAATGCAAGTCATAAAAAAGGGGCCAGCCTGGGGGTTGCCTCTTTGCGCCCTGTTAGTCGTCCCCAGGCTCCGGCACTGAAGGGGCGGCCTATGTCCTCTCGCCGCGGGGTGCCGTGACCCGGCTTCTGAGGGAATCCCGCAGCTTCCGCTCTCCAAAGCGAATGCTGCCCTCCTGGACAGCAGCCTTGGGTGAATGCAACGGTTCAGCGTCGTGGTGAGGGGTTGTGGGGCCTGCCCGTCAGCTCTGTGTCACGCGTGGTGCCGTCTACAATGCGGGCGTGATGCAGGGAACTGAACTCGCGTTTCCACTATAAAGGTCAGGTTGCTCTCCCGTCAGCTGCATTTGCCCGTGCCCCTACGGGTCACAGAGAAGTATATACCCGGTGGGCAAAACAGTATGAGCCAAAGCATTCATTGCTTGTTTCCATGCAGCAACAGGGAAGGTTCTCATCTTCCTCAGAAACGGCTCCGCTCTGTCACCTGACCTTATTTCAGGGTCCCTGGTATCCTAGAGGAGCAGCATCCGCTCCATCACAGAACCAGATGAAGGCACCAGTCTCCCATGCCCATACCTGTTCCAGGGTAGCTACCAGAGTGCAAAGTGGGCATAAACGGATGCATTTGATTTCAGCCGATTCGTTAAAGCCACCAAACAAGAAAGATGAAGTCAGGGCCTGGCTGGGCTGGTCACTGAAGCCAGGGTAAAGAACCGCCCATTGGGGAATAAACATGTAGGATTTGTGTGTGCCACATGTGCTGCAAACAACTTGCCACTACAGAAGAAGCCACAGAGGTAACAAGGTATTCTTAAACTCCTCTGGTACGCCTATGCACAAAAGTTATTCAACAATTTCTATATTTTATATGGAAGGTAGTCACAACATTGAGCTCTCTGAAAAGAACGTGTGTATCAGTCTGATCCTAGCAGGTATTTAGTGGGCGAGTGAAAAGAGAAGGAAAAAGAAGGCAAGAGGAAAAATGCAAGAAGGCTAGAAGAAAGAAACTGATGCCAACATTAAACAGTTGCAGCTGACTGATAAGTGAAAATAATTTCCTGAACAGGGTGTGAAGCAACATTCTTTTTTATTATTCTGAACTCAAGGTCTTGTATGTGCTTGGAAATTTACTAAAATAGGTATTCTAAAAGAACCATTTCCTACATGGATCTCCATCAACAATACACTGGCATTGTAGATACACAAGGAACAAATTGGCCCTGAAGATTTTGGAGAGGGCGTCAATATGAAAAAAACACCACCAGTACCGTGACAGATATTTTTCCTTTAAATCTGCACCCACAGCAGAAACTTATCCAGAATGGTAGGAATCACGGACATAATTTTGATTTCCCCAATGCATAGCAGAAACAGGTGACAGCTTCCACTGAAGGGTCAAATAATTTAAATAATTCCCCTTCTCCACCTCAAGCTTGAGAAATACCAGCCTTGGGCTGCTGCTATGTCCTCTACGTATTCTACAGGGAGAGGAACAAAGTCTCCAGCTGTCCCAACCTGGCATTATACACTGTTCCTTTGTGTGGCTTTATCTTATGCAGGAAGTCAAAATACTTACCCAGGCACATCAAAAGAAAGAAAACAAGCAAAGTATACAACCTCAAAAGAAAGCTCTCAACTTTGGAATTCACTTTCTCCGTAACAGTTCAACAGCACACGCATTGCTGACCTTCAGAGCACAGCACAAAACACAACTGTTTGTATAACCTTTGCACGATGCTTTACTTAATCCTGTGGTGGCATTGAATGCAGTCCCCTACATCATGATCCTTTTTGTCTTTAAGGTTCCCTTACCCTGGAAATGTTTATGAGTAAATGAGGAAACTGAATCAAAACTTCATCGTGCAAGGGAATCTAGAGCAGAACAACATACGGGCAAAAACAGTCACCATTTTAAGATGGGTTTCCACACATTGGCACATTCTCAATTAGAATAATGTGAAGCCATAAAGTTGCTGTAGGTTTCCTAGTTTCTGTGATAGCGTAGCTTGAACTTAATCATGCCGAGCTCTGATTAAAAGATTTTTAGCTTCAGAAACTTTCTTCCTTTATTATTGTGAAGCCAAGGCCTTGTATGCACCAGGAAATTTACTAAAATAGGTATTCTAAAATAACTATGTCAGTCAGTTCCTTCTTCCAGGAGGGTGGAAGGAAGCCTTGGAAAGAAACAGTGAGTAATATTAGCCCTCAGACTTCCCAGGACACTTGGAGTTTTGTCATAAAGATTACAGAAAGACGTTGCAAGATGCTGAAAACACGAGGAAACACACACACAAAATTGTTCAGAGAGTTTGAAAAACCTTGAAGAAAGCCAAAAGGCTAAATCTTGAATTTCTGCCTGCAAGCTTGGAGATTCCCCCCACCCTGCAATGGGAGAGAAAGGCCAGCTTCAGCCTGCGGGGGGGTGTGTGTGTGTGTAAATCTCCCTTAGCTCTTCAAACAGTCCCCGTGGGAAGGCTCCCAAAGGAGGCCGCTCTGTAGAGGAAGCCAACTCCACCACGTAACCTCAGCATAGATGTATATCTCTTTTTGACTTTAAAGGAATATTATGAGACTGGCCTTGCTGTGCTTTGTGAATGGCTTGGTTTCCTCCTCCCTCTGTTCCTTAAAAGCTTTTCCAACAATTTCCCTTTGAGGATCTTTGCATGCTGTTAGTGGCTACAAATGCCTGTCATGTCGTTTCATACCAGACATTATTCAAAACTATAAATGCTGTAGAGCTATCCTGTTTCCTTGACTATAGCAATTTATATTGAATACTCTTTATTCTTGCAAATGCACAAGTGCTTTCATGAGAAAACTGAGTAAAACAGGTTTTCCACAAAGACAGAAGACCTCTTCCAATTAATGCAAAATGATTATCTTATGGCTCATTTCTCTGTAGAATCAAGTCTGTCAAAGTTATTCTCAGGTGGTATCAGAAGTCTGAAAAATACTCCTGGCTTTTGGGAAAAATGGATGAGCATCTGTAACAGAATCAGTGTTTTCTGATTCTGTGAAGTGTTCTTCACCAAATACAGCACCTTGTATTAAAATTAAGTAAATTGCAAAAAGTAATACAGTTCTTAAAATTAGACAGTTATGAGTGGCCTAACTGGTGCTTTTTTTTTTTTTAAGAGAGATCACAGACTATTACAGCTGCATATATTTTACTGCAATAAACCGTTTTCCACAGATCTGCAACCTGATTTTAGCTGATGTTTTCCATGAAAATACCAGTTAAACTTGTGTGCTTCGATTAATTAGTACAATAATATTAAATTTTTTCTACGTTAAATGTAATTATATTAGATTTTGCTATAGCTTCATTAAACAAAATTGTATTTTCAATAGTTTTGTAATAAATTTGGTCTTGCAGGGCTTTATCAACAGATTTATCTGATGGTAAGTTTTCCTCTTCTGGAGAGCTATACTTTAGTAGTTTAGGCTTTGGTCCTGCACTAATATCCATGTTGGCAGATTCTATCCAGAGTTATAAATCAATTATCCTCACATACGGATCTGATTGCAAGATCAGGACCATAGACATCAATTCTGTAATGCACACTTCCCTTTCAACTCTAGGTCTAAATAAAACTAAGCTGATGAAATTGTATCTGTGTATTTAAGACTGTAATTCAACAAGATATTTAATTACAATTTAGGTTACTTAAGAAGTTTTCCATTTTTTCTCAGGAC